TAAACCTGAGTGGAGGTCAGCATCAAAATTGCAGTAGGATGGAGTCGTATGATTTCAACTCAAGCTGTATTGTGGCCATAATGGTGTCATGAAGGTAGCCTATGGAGCGGGCGTTCAAGGAGAATACGCGGGAAGGAGGAAGTTCATGTGCTCTTGCCATCAAAGTTAACTCATCGCAGCAAATGTTGCCTTGAAAAGAAACCGGCTTTTTACTTTTGTCTCTGCAGATGAAGAAGAGGAGCATCTTCGAAAAATTGAAGAACTTGAAGAAACTGAGGCCAAAAAAGATGCCGAACTCACTCAACTTCGCTCAGACCTCACCCAACTAAAGGAGTCTGCACAAACATGTCAGGTAAGTGCCGGAAGGCTTGACGGGGTTGTTCCGCCCGAAAGTAGAACAATTCTCAAACAAGAGGTAGATTTTGTCTACGGAATGGCAGGGATCTCCTAAGTCAGTTATAGAACAAGAAAGTACAAAACCAAAGTCGACTTATTCAGCAAGGTCTTGTTGTAAATTTAAGGGATTACCTGTGAGATGAGAAAATTAAATTTTCCTGAGCATTGAGAAAGGAAGAAACGCTTCCTTATTCTTGAATTGAAGTTATAGAGCCTTTTATGAATGCAGTTCTTTACTAAGGGTTTATGCAGACCCGTAAAATAAAGTTCGGAACGTTGGCCGCAAGATACCCTTATATATTTTTTGGAGTACCAGAAGGTTGAAGGAGCATTTTGTGCTGTCTGAGAATTCGGTTTTGGATATATCTCTCAAATGATATTTGTTATTGTAGCTTGTGTGCCAGGTGTTGTTGTATAATTCCAGACTGACGTCACCAATTGCCTCTACTTGATATACAGAAGTGATATGCATTTAACGAGTTATTTTTCCTTCCTGTTAGAATTCTGCTTGCATTGGAGATCAAAATGAAATCGAATCGCTCAGAAAAGAATGCGACGTTGCAAAGAGGGCAAAAGATACAATTGATGAGTATTTAGCAGAGTGTAACAGACTCAAGGCCATAGTGAATGAACAACAAGGTACAGTTACTGGGTTAGGTTTTAAAAGGGTGTACTAAAACCAGACCTTAGAACCTAGGTGAATCTCACAAGTAACCAACGAGAGTTCAACGTTAAAAAAAACAAGTAGATGACTTGAAGCGCAAGAATTTTAATGTTGTGTCACGCATAAGTTCAAAAGTTAGCAGAAAAGAACATGCAGATTCAGTCATTACAGTATGACTTGTACAAACTGAAAGAAAAATACCACAAGGAGACGAAGTCACTAAGGAGTGAAGTGGAATGGGGAAGGGAGAAAGTTGGATCACTGAAAGTAGAGATAAGGAGGTTGAAGGAACCTGAGACAGATGACACCATTAGTATAATGAGGTAAGCTCTTATTACAATACATCGTAACTTACTCACGAGCCTTCAAAGGTACGCTTGTTTTGGGAGCCATAGTGAGCAGAACCGTTAGAGAGCGTCTAGCAAGTAATTCTTAGTTCTAAGGTTTGTTTCCTCATTCCCGCTCAGAATCTTTTGTTCGTCCCACTCTAGTGACATCTTTATTTAATACTTAGAAGTTATTTACTTCTTTCTTTTTATTTCATTATTATTATTTATTTTATTTTTCTCAATTTCAGGGGTCAACCTGTTGCGTCTAACGAGAAGGAGAACAGTGAATTAGGGGTCGTTTCTAATGTGGCTATTTATTCTCTCAATGCCAAGCTTGGAAAACTCGAAACCGAAACGCAAACTTTGACAGAAAATGTGAAAAAACTTGAAAAGGAGAAATCAACTCTAAGTTTACTTAATACAGAAGCAAGGTACGTTGTTTGTTTGTAAGTTGGCTTGTTATTTTCTTCTTTGCATGTACGTGCCTGGAATTGTTTGTGTCTTTATTGTCCTGGGGTGACTTGTCGCAATTTCTGACTGAATCCACTCGACAAATGAACAGCTTTAAAATCTCAGAGGATTTCTGCCAAGTGATGATTAATATGAATGCTTGAAAGTTGAAAACCAGAATAAAATTTTTGAAAATTTTTTGCTTTCCCCTTCATTTCCCTCAAGGAGGAAAATGCTGCAAACACTAGTTTTAAAGACACCTGTTTTTTTTCTTGTTTTGTTTTGTTTTGTTTTAAAACTGTACCCATCATCGGAACGGTTACAATTTTACCGAAGTTTCGGACTGCCCTCCACCACGTCTGATCACGAACGGAAGCTTTAAAGTTCTTCTCAATCTCCTTTCTCGTAAGAATGGTCCCTTCTCCTAAAGAAATTATGTCTGCGGAAATTTTTCGAACATATATCGCGCCGAAGGAAGGCTATTCTTTGCATGTCGTATTTTACTGTGGTAACCAAAAAGACCAAACTAACAATAAATTACACTTTCCTGCAGCAATAAGGTAGCCCAGCTTTGTTCTGAAAACAACGCGCTTAAAACAGCCAGGAAGAAACTAATGGAAGAATTGCAAAAGATTAAGAAAGTACAGGAGAGTTCCAGAGCTAAGGAAGATTCCGGCAGGCGACTTCCAGAGGGTAAGGGTGCATGCGTTTGATTTACCCGCCGCATGCTAAACTGTAGCCTACCGCAATCTGCTATTCAGTTACCACTACTCTGGGGCAAGGTGGAGTTCTTCAAAAGATGAATGAAGAAAACATCAGCAAATTATTATTTGTGATGCGCCTTTCACATCAGTCCATCCTCTTAATCTGCTGGAAACTCTGACGTAGACTCGGAGGATTGAAACGGTCGTGTTCCAGAGACTTGATCGGCTCTTCAGAGAATCAAAAGCAGCTGCAAGATAGAAAATCGTAAGTTAGGGATTTGCTCCCATTAAAAGGCGCAGTTTTAATATTGAACCTCCTTTTCGTGACGCCTTGCCTGACATCACCTCCTTAAGGTACCCGCTGTACTCAGACACAAAATTGCAAGGTTACAGAATTTCAGAGACTTATGGCACTCAAGTTAATCTTTCCTTCTCTTCTTTCTGTATTTGCAGCCTCTACAGAAGCGCTTGAAAGACAGTCCAGGAGTTCATCTGTGCTTGGTGAATTATCCGCATGTAGCGAAGCCCTGCCGGCTGTTGAGCGCAAGCGGGTGAAGCCAGAACCTAAGAAAATTTCCAAAACTGGCTTTCAGGAGATGCAGCAAACAACATGTTCAAAGACGAGCCAAATCAGTGTGCTAATCAGTGATATTATCACGTGCTGCTCAGCGCTAGCCTATTTCATTAAGCCTGTTTCATTCTAGAGACATAATGGCATAAGTGTAGTTCATATGAGCTTCCTCAGGGCATACGAGCGTAAGGACTTGGGGGGAGGGGGTTCATCCTGTCATTATTTTAACGATATGAGCATGCAAAAATAATAACAATTGCGACATGATCACACAGACATCTTTTCTTTATGCCTTTATGCTAATATCGTTTTGTAGTTACCCTTCATATCGCAAATGTAAACAAGGTTGTAAACGTTTTAGCTGTCGCGATGCATGCATCATTTAGATCCCATTATGTCGTCGTTGTGCCCACGGGTTTACGCCATGAATTTAGACAAGAAAATAACCCTCCTATGTCGTTACGCTTATTTCTACAAGCTCTCATCACTAGCGTGAATCAGACTTGGGATATTGCGTCGCAAAAATAGGGCTGAATGTTAGTTTTTTCTAGATTGCCGTAAAAACATCTGATGTTTGATTAAAATGTCATTACTGTTGGTTTTACCATGCGTTAAAAGATGAAAATTGTCTCGAGCTTACATTGACTATTTACAAGAAGTGCCTCAAACTGTCTTTGACAAAATAATACAGCCGGAAAGGGGTCGTAATTTATAACACTAGTGGCGTTAAACGGCATTTTACAGCTGTCAAATTCTTCTCTTCCAATATATTTTTCCATCATTTTCCATCCTCAGATACGGTTAGTGATCCAATCCCTGATTCGAGATGAAGTAATTTAGAAAAAATCGTTTTTGAACCTTAGTTGATGGCCTTCTGGCGAGTAAGGTTGTTCTTTCTTCATATAGCCAATGATTTATTTGTCCAAAAACCTGGCAAACTTGCATAAAAACTTAATAGAAAGCTATGAATTAAAAGGCAACAACATATGGCAAGTGGAAACTTCGTGCGAAAGAGTCGTGTCAAGGAGCAAAACAAAAATGCTTTTTTGATGACTTCGTGTACACTTCATTATGATAATGTTCGTGACGAATATTCTAAAAGTTTGGCTGACACGACAGTAATTTGTTTTCTAACTGTTACGCACCCCTGTCGTATAAAAGGACTTATTTTCGCCTGTTAAAATCAATGTAGCTTTTTTACTTTATTGGCGATAAAAAATAAAGTTGGGAAAAGATCCAAAAAGAACATTTTTGGGACCTAGTTCACATTGCGTGACGTTTCAGAAATTTTTCTTTGTTGAATGTTTAAGTAATCATTCTGAAATAACAGTCTTTACCCCCAAATGTCAAGTCATTGAATGAGAAACACCAAACCCGGTGGTAGTTTATGTGTTTTATTTAAGGATTTTTTGAAATTATGGAATTGTTTTGACAGAATACAAAGGACATACATACATAATGAGTGATAGTGCAAATAATCATCATAAGAATTAGTATCTCTAGAGTTTTCTTCTCTTCTTTTTGTTTTCTTTTTTCGTCGTTCTTTCATTTCGTTTTGATTATTGTTTCGGAGAAATTTCTCTTTCAAAATTCCGAAAAACAAGAGGCTTCCAATGGGCCTTTTTCATGCACAAATAACGTTTGAAGAAATTAGTAAACAGGAACAGTTAAGAAACTTATTATCCCGCCCAATTTAAATTAATAATAAATGACGCTAGCACTTCTTTGTTTTGGCTTTACAAGAACCTAGCAGTGCCAGAGATGGGCAACTGATGGTTGCTGCATTTATCTCACTTTACTGAAAAGATTTTTGTAAAGCGAACCACTCTGATAGTTGGTTAAAAACGCTTTCTTTTTTGACAAGACTCTGAAGATGGCCCGCCATCGCTGCACGATGCTCTCTTTCATATTTCTTCTCTTTTTGTTTGGAGGCTGGTTCTACACCTTAACAGTTGCAAACTATGGTGAGTTAACTTTGAAATTATTTTGTGTGGGTTGGATGAAAATGTAGACTATGGCAACTCCTGAAGTAATGCAAACCTGGCGTTACAGGAAAGCAAGGGCCCCAGGAATAGGGGCAAAAAATTATGCACTTTTCGAGGGTTTGGATATCTTAATCTACCGCATCGAGATGGCTCTGAAGTAAAAACTGACATGACCATCTCGAAAAAGCTTCAGTGCAAAGAAATTTAGCGTTTTTTCAACAAGAGTAGCTAATTAAAAATGAGGTAGGAGGAAACTACGATTTCACAAAGTGCTTAAAAGTTTGGAAACTTTCTAGACCAGTTGTAACATAATCGATGGTGTGTGTGGGAACTTCATTCGGGGCATTTTGGTTCTAACTTTTCGGCTACGTTTCCAAAGTTTTAAATTTTTACAAGAATTTATTCAGATCAATTTCATCACTAAACAATCATAAATAACAGCCCATAACATTTCCTGATAACGTCGATGGAAAAACACATCGATTATTTATGATTTTTGATTAGTTTTAAGCAGGCACCTTGTATAATTGGGTGAAAAATTCTAATATTTCTTTCTTCCTTAATTGATGTCATCTGAATTATCTTTATACTCTCGGAATATCAACAAAATAATAGAAAAATTGCTTTCTCGTCCACTGTTCGATAGCATCTCTTCGAGCAGAGTAACCTTGCGTGCAATCTATGTAAAAGCTTACGAACAGAACATTTCAAAATTTCTTCAACGGAATCAGCCTGTAAAGGAGATCAAGCAGGGAAACAAAGAATTTATAGTCGATGTGGAATAATTCTTTGTTATTCCTTAAATATCTGCATATAACAAATAAAATAAAGAAGTTTTAAACAATGGGTCATCAATGATTTACTCAGTGCGAGTGCTACAGAAGCAGTTTTGTTTAGTAAGCCGAAAAGTGAGCGATAAATGATCCATGAGAATGAAATTAACGAATCGACAGAGGTTTAACGTGGTCTCTCTTCTTACCATGACAACGATATTCGTCATCACAGTGCCCAAAATGTTGTGGATTTGTTCGGTGGGCGAAACTTTGCACGACACGTTGACGAGAGCAGCTTTGTCAGTAATCTTAGACAACAACGGCAAAGTGGTCAATCAGATCGCATGCGAAATTGCCGCCAGTATAGTAAAACTCAGCACCAAATATTCCTATGAACTTATCTTTCTCTCCAAGGGCTAACCTCTTTCGACTTTTTTTCAAGCATATTACCAGCACTTTACCTCAAGTCAGTAAAATGACTAGGGTTACGTTTGTCACAAATAGTTTTATTCATCAAATAAAGGCTGTTTTCTGTGGCTGTTTAAATTTGGTTTGCAAAAAAAAAAAGAAAAAAAAAAAATTAAAGAAAGATTCAAATGGGGAAAGAATTTCTTACACATTTTCCTTTGTTCAAATCTAGTTGAGGAAGGTTACAATGAATAGGGTATGAGGTCATAAGTAGCGTAAAAAGAGATTATTTTTTAAAATTCCATGTATCTTCTTTTCATTTATTGTTTTGGCTTTCAATTTGGGATAAAGCTTCAGAGATCATCAAAGTAAGCACATTTTGAAGCATAACATCATACATTATTCACAATCTTTATTGCAAAAAATCAAATATTGACCATTTAATAATTAATTACAGTACATGGTGAAATATTCACAGAAATTAAGATACCATTTCGGGGTACTAAAATATTTTTAAAAAGGTCCCTCAGCTTAGCTTGACGAAAGCTTTTTCTTCTCCACTATTTTTTCTCCGTCCTGCCACTCAGATTCGTTTTCGAAACATTCTACTTTTAAGATTTGCGGTGAAACCATGTGCAAAGTCTTTTTTTTTATCTTCTTTTTCCTGAGTCACATTAACTTAAATTCGTTTTCGCTCGAAAACGTTTTACGTTTTAAAACTTTTAATCCACAAAAAAAAAAAAAAAACGCATGAAAATGCATATGAAAACGGTAACGAAATCAAAAATTATAACGGTTTCTTTAAAGTTTTTTTCCCTCAAAAAAAAAAATATATAACCTCTTGCGCCGGCATGTGGCGGAATTGTCACAATTTTATTCTGCTCGTGTTAAAGGAAAAACAATATTGCAGAAGGGTTACAAAAAAGAAATAGTCTGGCCCCTAGCTGGTTCAGTATACTTCGACCGAAGGCTAACCACAGGAAGACGATATGATAAACTATTCAATTTTTTGAGCAGATGGATTTCAAAATCCGAGTTAATAGAAGTTAATTTTTAGCCCATCAATTGATAGCCATGAAAATTGTTAAAGCTGTAAAACCACACAGTTTTCTCTAAATAATGGTTTTATTAAACATTACTCAATCATATTCTATTCTATTCCTGTTTTTTTTGGAGATTTTTTTTTCGTCAACCTACGCGAGACGTTTTGGAGGCCTAACAAAAACTTTCCTCTAACGTCTGATTTATAGATAGCTGTCGGCGTCTAAAGTTCTTGCTACAGAAAGATGGATATGGATTAGTGGGCCACGTCTTTAAAAACATTTTATTACCAGTCGGAATGCATATATATAGTCACTGCAGAAATTGGTGTACTATGGAAGACAGATGTAAATCGATCAACATGGGACCCTCAGGAGAAAAAGATAAAGTTTTGTGTCAATTGAGTGACTCGGACCACTTGCAACACCCAAATGATCTGAAACCGATGGCAGGTTTCATGTATAGGGGCACGGAGGTAAGAGT